ACTATGCGGCTGGTTACATGCTTTCATTCTGTCTCACAGAGCCACTAGACTGGTTCCCTCTCCTCTTGGTGGGAGCTGAAGGCTTCCTGGGAATTTACCCAAGATGGAGTGATTCCACCTGCCTTGTCATCCTTTACTCTAAAGCTCAACCTGGTATCTCTTGGGTCCAGAAGAAGCTGCTACTCATAGTGTCTACAGATCCACCCCCAGGCAGGGGTGCCCAGTCTGTCTTCTCTGATGCAACCTCTTTTGGGGTCAGGCTGTGACACCTGCTGCTGCGGTTTCCTGTCTTCTCAGTGTCTCTGTAGCGGCTGCATTGACCAGACAGGGGCTTGTTGGGCTGGGAGGCCTCCTGCCTGCACCTGGCTCAGCCGCTAAATAGAAAACAGCCAGGCCTAGGGGTCGCCCATGGGAATACTACTACTCTTTGTTGTTATTATAGCTAGTACTTGTTGAGCCAAGTATCATACTAATTGTTTTACATGAGTTACCATCTTTAATCCTCACTATAGTCCTAGGAAGTAAGTAGCAGTAGAATTTTATTATACAGGTGAGGGGATAAGAAACTGCAAGGGTTTCAGAGGCAATAAATAACAAGAGCTGGGACCCAGACTGAGCTTTCTCCCTTTGCTCTAGTCATACTCCTGTGAGTGTGGGAGACACTGATTGCCTGAAGTCCCCACGCTGGGCCCCGACAGAGCCCTGGAGGTCCCAGGAAAGTTAGAGGAGAAAGAACATCCCCGTGGAAAAAAGCATGCTGGAAAAAGAAGCGGGGAGCAGGCACCCTGACAGGGCAGTCTTTCCAGATACAGGAAATAGCATCTCCCAGCCCCCAACTCTAGAGATGTGCTCTCCAGGGCTCCCGACTGCACCCTCCAAAGACCCATATGCCGAACTTACTTGACTTTCCAGGCCAAACCTGCCTGGGACCCTGGAGGCCATAGAGGTATCTGGCTGTCTGTAGGGCCAAGAATGAAAAAGAATTGGAGGAAGGGGAGGAGGAACTGGGGGAAATAGTATCAAGCAGTCACCCAAGACAACTGCTTTTCTCCATCCTTTTAGCCCCTCGTGATATTCCTGTGAGTTGTTGGATTGTGTATGAGATGCAGGAGGGCAATGGCTGGCCATCAGGTTTCCACAATCCCATTTCTTAAATTCCCCGCGATCAGCTCTCGATCTTGCAAATACCCACAGCCCAGAGGGCACGGGTGGACACCAAGAGTATTAGTGAGTAACTCACAGCCGGCAACCTGCCCAGCTCCTCTTCCAGGCACCACCGAGCCACTGTCAGGGAGTTGTGCTTTTCCATCACTTGCTGCCTCAGCTAAGTCTGCACCTGTGCCCCAGGGGTCAGAGGCACTGGGTAACAAAGAGAAACTCCACAAGGCCAGTGGTTACCTGTCTCATCCAGCCCCAGCTCTGAGGCTTCCTTAGTCCAGAGCCACCCACAGGTCAGTGAGATCCCAGAAGCTGTTGCTGCAATGAATTAGAAGCAGCTGCTCTGACCTGCTCCGCCTCCTTCTAGGCCAGTGGTTCTCAACCTTGGCTGCACATTAGAATCACCTGGGAATCTTTTTAAAATCCTGATTTCTGGGCCTCATCCTCTGGAAATTCTGTTTCTTGGTTACTAATGTTGTAGCCTCACCCCATAATAAAGAAACAGAATTTCCAGAGGATGAGGCCCAGAAATCAGGATTTTAAAAAGATTCCCGGGTTATTCTAATGTGCAGCCAAGGTTGAGAACCACTGCTCTAGGCCTTTCCTGTAGACCAGTCTACACCGCCCTTAGCTACTCCAGTCTTTCCCATTGTGATTATGCTCCAAACACTCCCCCCACCCCAACTCTTGGGAGATGACCTTGCCTTCTTGCTCTAAGAGAATAAGCTCCTTTTCAAAGCTTTTGGCTCCCTCAAAATATGCCATCTCTCCCTAATTCCTCCCCTATGTTCTCCATTCCATTCTCTTGTTGTTTTGCCTTGCTTTCACCAGCATTCACAATCCCTTAGCCAACCAATTGCTCCCTCTTCACAGGTTTTTCCTCCTCAGCCTAAAGGCTTATTATCCATGTTGCCACTACCTTAAAAAGCCTTCCCTCCACTCAGTTCACCCCCCTGGCTTCCACACTTTTCTCTCCTTTCCTCCTATGCACTTCCTAGCCTCTTTTTGTCTGGCTCCTTCTCTTTGTTTATATTGCTCTCCCCAGGGTCACTAGTAGTCACTAAAATCCCCAAATCTATGCCCCTTCTTCTTCCCAATTCCCTCCAATCCTCTTGTCGCTGTTGACACTGTGAGTTATGTTCTCCTTATGGAAACTTTCTTCTCCGTTGAGTTGGGTGAAACTGCGGATCCTGGTTCTGCCCTTTCCTGTGTGGCCAGTTCCGACCCCTTGGCAAGGTCAGGTTCCTTTCCCCAGTCTCTGAAAGTGGGGTCCACTCCTCAGGCCTCTTGAACCTCTCAACACTCCTCGCCTTGACAACCTTCTAAATCAGTGGTTCTCAACCTGTGGGTCACGACCCCCTGGGCAGTCGAACGACCCTTTCACAGGGGTCGCCTAAGACCATCCTGCATATCAGGTATCTACATGACGATTCATCACAGTAGCAACATGACAGTTATGAAGTAGCAACGAAAATGATTTTATGGTTGGGTCACAACACGAGGAACTGTATTTAAAGGGCCAGAAGGTTGAGAACCACTGTTCTAAATCCATACCTGCTATGCCAGCTGGGTGTGGGCGTGTCCACCTGGACACTCCTCCCCCACCTGATGCTGCATGTCTAGGACCAACATCCCCACATGCATCCCTCTTTCTGATTCTACTCCCCTCCAACACCTGATTATAAAACCACCAGCTTTTCAGTTACCAGACTTGCGTCTCTAGAGCTACGATAGACTCCAGTTAATTGCCAAATCCTGGCCATTTTGCCTTCACCAATATCTTGCAAATTCTCTCCTTTTTTTCCTGAGAACAGCCCCTCATCGCCTCCTGCCTCCATACTGCTTTACCAGAACCAGTTTGTATGTGCCCCCTCTAGTTTAGAAATCACTCGTGGGCCTGAGACCCTCTAAACCTGGTCCCCATATATTGGGAAAAGTGTGAGGAAAGCATTCACTTTTGAGACTGAATTCTAACTTTACCCTAATTGGCAGTGTAATCTCCGGTAAGCTTCTTAACCTCTGTCAGCTTTGGTTTCCAATCTGCAAAATGAGGGTAATAGTGTGCACCGTGGAGGCTGTGAGAATTAACACTGGTGTATATAAGTGGTATGAATTGCATGTAAGATTGGCACATAATACATGCTCAGTAAGTGGGAGATCACAGTTCTCATCACTTCCAAGTTTGCAGCCTTATTTCCTCTCCTCCCTTCCATACGTCCCCTGTTCTGGCTGACTGGTCTGGGCATGAGCCCCTGAAACATCAGGTTCATTTGGCTCCCATGCTTTGATTCTACTCCCCTCCAACACCTGATTATAATGTTTCACCCTCTGCTTCTTTGTTCATCTTAGAATCATGTTTTTTAATGGAGAAAGAGACCTTAGAGATCCCGTAGTCCAAGCATGTCAAACTCGCAGCCAGCGGGCTGCATGCTTCAATATGTATGAGGCATGCGGACTGCTGGTCACGAGTTTGACATGCTTGCTGTAGTCTAAGCTTGTTAGGCTAACAACAAAAAAGAACCTGAAGCCTAGAGAAGTAGAATGATGAGCCCAAAGCTCTGTAGCCAAAAAATGGCAGAGTCAGAAGCAGGGCTTGGGGCCCCTGCCATGTAGCCCGGTGCCCTGTGCACCATCCCCCATGCCTCTGGTTCCTCTGTGTATCTGTATGTTTAGCCCTACTCTGCTTTGAAGCGCTACATAAAGTTTCACCTCCTCAGTGACTTCTCTCCCGATTACCCTGCCCGCAAGGGGGATGATGCCTTTTGGCACTTACACTTGGCCCCCTTGGAGTTACTTAGCTTTCTCTGAGTGTGTGTCTTCCTTCCCTAACTTTATATCCAGCACTTTCAGGCAAGGGCCTCATTTCTGTTGTCTGGCAGCGCTCGGTAAAAGCTGGTTAGAGAGGAGTGCACTCGTGGCTTACGACTTACCTGCTGGTTGAAGTGAACTTGGATCGCACACGTTTCTGCAGGGAGGAGCAACACTGTTGGAAAAATTGCTTCCAAGGGCACCTAAGTTGACCAGTGAGTGGAAGGGCGCGTTTCTCAGTCCTGGCCCCAGCGTGGGCCTTCTGTATCACATAGCCCTTGGTCCTTTGATCACTGACTAGCCAGCTCATCCCCGGTCCTGGGGTGTTTGACTCACCCCAGAGTGCACGGTGGGGTGGGGGTGGGGGGCGGGCGCCAGGCTTTTCAGCTAGCCTAGTAAAGGAGCTCTGATCCAAGTAGGACCTCAGAAAAGGAGGCCATCAGGCCAGCGAGCTGGACAGGGACAGCAGTACGTGAGAAGTTGTCCAGGGCCTGACATCTGGCAGAGGGACCGTGCGCTGTGTTGGAATCTTGGGGACAAAAGGGTCACCTGTAATGCAGCCCTTTCCTGGTTACTTCTCCTTGGCTCAATAAAGGGAAATTTCGCCCCCTCCCTCAACTCTGGAGTTGTGTGGTACAGTCCCAATAGGAAAGCCAGCTCCAAAATGATCTTCAGATCTAGGGAGTCCCGCGCCCAGGAAGAGATTTGCATGTGATTAGGAAAGGGGAAGGGGGGAGTCCCCACCCCCACCAAGGGGAAGGGTGCTGTGCTCTACTCACTCTGCTGCCCCAATACCTGCTACCAAAAATCAAGCTGCAGTTCTGGTGATGCACACAGGGCAGGACAGAGGCAGACGGCCTCCACCCACAGAGCAAACAGGAAGGAAAGCATGCCTTGCAGCAGTCAGTGAGGGCAGGGGTGCAGGGGGCAGATGAGTGAGGAAGGAGCTGAGGGCTGGTCTCTGCAGGTCTGGGCTAGAGTTGCTGGGGAAGGAGAGGCATGAGATGTGTGATGCTGTTGTGATGCTGTTGCAGGATCATCCGGACCAAAGTTCAGCAGCCTTTTCACCCAACACCGGATGGGGCTGGGACTGGAGTGACTGCGCCTGGCCACACCATTGGTAAGAGGGCTCAGGCTCAGGGAAGCGGGGTAGGGGTAGTGGCAGGGGTCGAGGGGTTGGGGAAGCAGGACCCCACCTGAGAGAGCTGGATATGCAGCTACGCCCAGAACTACTTTTTTCCAATTTGCGCTCTCTATGAGCTCCTAGAGCAGCCGTGGGCAAACTACGGCCCGCGGGCCGGATTCGGCCCGTTTGAAATGAATAAAACTAAAAAAAAAAAAAAAAGACCGTACCCTTTTATGTAATGATGTTTACTTTGAATTTATATTAGTTCACACAAACACTCCATCCATGCTTTTGTTCCGGCCCTCCGGTCCAGTTTAAGAACCCATTGTGGCCCTTGAGTCAAAAAGTTTGCCTACCCCTGTCCTAGAGGCTCAAAGGTCTTCTTGAGAGAGACTAGCTCACTGGGATCCCTACCCCTCTCGCCATATCTATCTATCTCTTTCCTCCCCTTCCTCCCTATTAATATTTCCCCTTTAGCATAGCTTCTCCTCCCCTCCCTCCTTCTCCATCTTTTGTTTTTATCTGATCCTGTCTCCCTATTTGCCCCTCTTTTTTCATATCTACTATCTGACTCCATTTTTGTTCTGTTTTTAATTTCTAAAATTATCATTCTCTTCTCTTCCCTTCTCTCCTCTTCCCCCCTCTTTCTCTTTCTCCTTCTCTTTTCTCATCTCTGTATGTGAGGCTCTGGGTTTGTGCCTCTGTCTCTCTCCCTCCCTCTTCATAGCCTATCTCTTTTGATCTCTGTCTCTCTGTCATCTACTTGGTAACTCTTTGCCTCTCTCCAACCTCCTTATTTACGGATCCTTGCTCATGGCCCTCCAGAGACGTGACCTAGGCCATACCAAAACACCTGCTAACATTCCTACCCCCCTCCCCCAATCATAGTCTTCCCTTTGGCCCAAGGGTGCTTGGCACCAGGTATTAAGGAGCTGGGATGTGATCAAACTTTTCCTGCTGCCCCTCTTGGCAGCTGTCCCCTGCTCTCTTGACTAGCAGGAAGTAGAATGGCAGGTCCCAGCCCTCCTGGAGTTGGCAGGATCTGTTGTTTACTGGGCCTGTATTACAGCGTGTGCTAGGAAGGAGGGCTGGGCTGGGCTGTACCTGAGTAGATCATTACGGAGTGAATGTGTTCACTAGTCTGTGCCCGGAGGGGGGAATGAGGAACTTCTCAAGTGATTTCAAGACCAGAAGCAACTGAGAGAGAAGAGCTATGCACTCCTGGAGAATATCAGGACCATTCTTGTGTCTCCTCGGGATTCAGAGACAGATCTTAGAAAGCCACAGAGTCTAAATCAGGATTGGTAAAGACTCAGCCCAGGAGACTGAGAGGCAGTGAGATGCAGTTTGTTTAGAAGGGCTTTCCTGGCCCCAGGGATTGGACTAGCTGTGCAAGGAGGCCTCCTAGGAGCTGTGCTCACTCCAAGACTGCTGAGTCACTTTTTAGGTTGAGTCAGCTTTAGGTTTCCATTCATCTTCAGGGGAGTGAGTTCAGGGCACCAGTGACCTCTATAGGTCTGCAGAGAAGGCTTAGGGTTGACTGGCCACCACCCAGTCCAGGGCTGGACAGAAGTGAATAGCCTGCTCTGTATGTAGCTATGCCTTCTCTCTTAAACCTCAGAGAAAGAAGGGGAATATGGGCTCCCCATCCCTCCTTATTTCCTCTGCTTCTCTCTGCCCCCAGCCTTGGGGCTTTGGCCTGCTATCACCACTGCTTTCCTGATGGCATTTCCTCCTTATTCTCATCCAGTTCCCAGTACGGCCTCCCCTCCTGTTTCCAGCGCCTCCAATGATCCAGTGGGATCCTACTCCATCAACGGGATCCTGGGGATCCCTCGCTCCAACGGCGAGAAGAGGAAACGTGATGAAGGTAGGGAGGAGGGAAGAGGCTTGGCTTCCCTATGCATGCTTTGTCCTTGGACTCAGAGCTCCGGTTTCGGCCCAGCCTCGCAGCTGCTCTGCTATGAGATCAGTTTTAGTGGCAAAGCCCAGGTCCCCCCACTGCCCTGCTGGCTCCTGGAGAGAGGGAGGCAGGCTGCTGGTGGGGCCATCAGCTTCACCATCTGCTCAGCAGCCTTGACTGCTCACCTTCCTCTGGGACTCACCCCCAAAATCTCCGTGGGATTCCAGGAAGAGAAGCATGAGCCATGTACCTTGGGAAGATTTTGGAGGCTGGGGGGCATCTGGTCTCTGACCTGAGGATAAAAGGCCAATTTGCCTTGTCCTCACCTGATCCCAACCCATCAGGAGCGAGGGGAGTGGTGTCACATACAGCTGATCCTGCTGTCCTTTCTCTGTGACACATGGACACTGGCCCCATTAAAACCAGCCAGGGAGCTGGACATGGGTTCCTCTCTGTGCTCCCCCCATGGGAGGAGACACCGGTCCGGCTCCTCTCTGGCCTGCCCTCATTCCCTGTAATACCTCATGGTGCAGCCAGCTGTTAAGCATGGAGGTAGAGAGGGAAATAAAGAGGAAGAGGAGAGGGAAAAGGAGTCAGAGGAGAGAGTGGTGGCCATGAGCTTGGGAGAAGGTGTTGTTCATATGGGTGACATTAGAGGTCCCTTGGTGACCGTCTGGTTCTCTTATGATGCATGGCCAGGGTGCAGGGCTGGCAGGCCCTGGCAAACAGAGACACCAGTGCCTGGAACCTGCCTCTAGCCCCAATCTCATGGTCTCTGCTGGAGAGGCAGTCGCCTTCTGCTTTCGGGAGAGTGTATGATTTTAAGGGTATGATTTTAAGGATACCCTGAAATAGACAGAATCCTCTAGAGATGAGCACAAAGGGGGTGGCCATATATCCCATTAGTCCAGATGGTCCCAATTTATACCTTTTGTCTCTGCATCTTGGCCAGTCAGCATCGCCTTGTTCTTTCAAAAATGTTCTGTTTAGACAATAAGTCATATAGTCATCCTAAGCCTAGATGAGCCCTTGAATTGGGGCAGCTTTAGAAGGTAAGGAACAGAGAAAAGGGACAACACTGAGATTCCCTGGGCCCCAGGAAAAGATATGAGAGCCCTGGCCTCCAGTAGAAGGGGCAGAGTGTAGGAGAGGCCTGGGTCTGGCAAGACAGTGATGACCTGGTGCTGGCCTCCTTCCAGAAGCCCTAATGGCCTCGTTTCACAGGGAAACAGCTTGTCTGGCTCTATTTCTCCTTCTTCCCAAATATCCAAACCCATTTGGCTGCCACGGCCTTTGCTACTCACTGAATTTCATTGTGGTTGTTTTGGCCACAGCCCCTGATGGGCAGGGGGAAGCGATGTGAAAGGCCCTTAGTTCCACTTCTCCCTGAGGGGTTCCCACATTCAGGCCTTAGCCAAGCTTCCTGATGCCCTGAGTATTTGGAAGATTCTGCCCCAAACCCTAAGGGGTTTCTCCTTTAACCACTGCCCTGCATTTTTTAGAGTGAGAGCTGTTCAGGAAGCCAGGGTAGGCCACAGACCCCCTCACCTCTCTCTGTCCCATTGTCCTGTGGTTGGACATGCTTTTTGCTTCCTGGGCTCCTATGGGCCATGAAAAGAGACCAGGGGTAGGGAGGCACTGGCATGAGGCTGTGGCCACCCCAGGTTGGGCCTGGTTGGCCCAGAACAGAGCACTGTCCTTTCTGAGCAATTGGTCACGTTCATTGTTTCAAGTCAATTCAATTCAGTGAACCCTTCCTGTGTGTTAATCACAAGAAAGGCTTGGTGCTATAGGGTCCCAAAGCAGAACGAGATATGATTCTTGTCCTTAAGGAGCTTACCGTCTAGTGGGGCGTATAAAACATGTGAGCCCAGAGAGCGGAAAGGCCCATCAGATATCCGTGTTGTGGTGGAGGTCTGGGCTGCGGACCGTTGGAGCTCAGAGTGGGGCGAGAACAAACCCCAGGGAGGGCTGCTCTGTGAGGAGGGCCCTGAGGAATGGGCGAGGGGCATGTTCAAAGACAATGGTGGTGTGAAATTCTCTGCTGGACCCAGCCTTGTGACCAGAAGGTTCTGTGATGAGAAAGTGCAGGGGCACTTTGGCTGGAATGAAAGGGCGGAAGGGGAAGTCATGGGAAATCAGGCTAAGTAAATGGGTTAGGGTCGCAGATCAGGTCAAGACCAGATCATATAAGGCGTTTGGACTTTTTCTGCAGGCAAGAGTAGCCGCCGAAAGTGTGTGAGCAGGAAGGGAAAAGGACAGGGCTGGGTTGGGGAGGATCACCCTCCAGCAGGGGGACAGTGGTGGCAGTGGGGAGACATCTCAGGAAGCAGGTGAACTCCTGCAGGTGAGGGACAGGAGGGTCTCCAAGTGTCCTGCTTACACACTCACTCCCTGGGCCCAGCGAGGTGGCAGGAAGGATCAGAGGCCCTACTGCTTTTGGGGGGATGTGGACGGGTTCTGTTGCCCTGACTCTCCCTCCTACTGACCCACCACAGATCTGATAGAGCTGTCCTTTCCCTGGTAGAGCCTATAAGGGAGGCCCGTTCTCTGACCCCTCGTGCCCACACCACATACACTTGACCTATCGGACCCAGATGGGAAGAGAGGAAAAGAAAAGAGAGAGCAAGGACAGCCCTTCCCCAGCCTGTACTCCCCCTCCCCCACTCTTGGTGCCTCTAAGCAGCCAGGTCCAGTTTGCATTAGTGAGCAGCTCAGATGATTAAGAATAGGGGAGATAATTATGTGTCAAGATGATGTAGCCCAACTCTGCAGTCAGGCCAAGGTAGCACAGCAGCTGGCAGGCCAGTAGCAGGAGGCAGCCTCCGGCCTGGGCTGCACCGACACCCAGGTGTGTCCTTTAGCTCCTGGGCCAGCACTGCAGGCAAAAGAGAAAACTGGCTTGAGGAGCTGAGGGCATTGGGATGGGAGCAGGTATGCGTGTCAAGGGACTGAGGGAGTGGACAGACAACATCTCCCTCCAGGAGAACCCTGATGCCCTGCCAGGCTGGCCTTTTTTTGTTTGTTTGTTTTGGCCCCTCTTACTGTGGCATCTCCATAGGAGTGTCATACTCTGAGGGCAAGCTGTGAGCCTCTGTGTCCTTAAGGAAGCCACTCCCGCTCCTGCCTCTGGGTACAGCTCAGCCTATTCTTCAGCTCTAACAATGTCATGGTGTTGGGCATTAGCGAGGACAATCACTGCAGCGTGTGCTGGCGTTATTGGAGACAATCTCAGCAGTAGTTATTGGTGTTCACAGTGATAATACCCAGAGCATTATTGGCACTGGCACTTGGAATATGGACAGCGTTATTAGTATCTGCAGCAATCATATCTGTGGGGATATTAGTAAAGGGTCGATCAGCTGTGACTCTGGGGAAAAAGAAACTGACAGTGACTGTGAGTCTGCTTGAGACGCCTTCTCAGCCCTTGGCCTTTGCAAGAATCCCCAGACTTTCCTTTGAGAAATATGCTACCACCGCCCCTAAACCCCAAGAGTCCAGGAGATCCCAGAATCAGACAGGTAGACAGGCTAGTGATAGATGAGTAAGGTATGTCACAAAGCCCCCAGAAGACTGTCTGGGGAGGTAAAACCCTGTTGTGGACCCGTAAAGGCTTTACCTCTTTTTGGCTACAATTATGGCAGAGTATATTAGGGTCCTTTGAAGGTTACTGCTTCCCTGAATGTGGCTTGTCTTGGCTTATGTGACTGGAGGATAAAGAGACTCTTACATTTTTTCAGGCTGAAGAACCAAAGGCCTTTGCCTTCCCCCAGTTGCTTTCAGCCATGGCCCAAAGTGTTGCTGTCCATTGGTGTTGTTGAAACACAGAGCAATTGCATAACCTGTCCAACAATCCAAATGAAGTCATATGGTCTGAGTCTGTTAATCTGTGGGCGGGGAGGTGTGTTGGTCTCATCCTTTGACGTGTGGGATTGCCGGGGGCTGTGATTCTGCATTCCATTAATTAGGTGCACAATGAGTTGTGCAGTTGAGTGGTGCCAAACCGGTGCAGTTGTGCATTTGCAGGCAGGGCAGGTTGCACGGCTGCAAACAACCGAGTCCTGTCACTGCCTTTATAGCTCCCTCCTGCTTTGGATGGAACGGTAACTGGAAGAAGCAGTTTATTTCCTTAGTTAGTTTCCCTCCTAGAGGTCCCCAAGTGTGTTGCTCAGGTTAGACTTGGAGCAAAGGAGGAAATGAAGCTGTGGAAACGAGCAGCACCTACCCCAGTGATGGAGAACCTATGACACGCGTGTCAGAGGTGACATGTGAACTCATTTTTTTTGGTTGATTTTTCTTTGTTAAATGGCATTTAAATATATAAAATAAATATCAAAAATATAAGTCTTTGTTTTACTATGGTTGCAAATATCAAAAAATTTCTATATGTGACACGGCACCAGAGTTAAGTTAGGGTTTTTCAAAATGCTGACACGCCGAGCTCAAAAGGTTCGCCATCACTGACCTACCCTGTCCAGGAGCTTTGGATTCAGGCAGGGGAAGGCTGCAGACCGCCCCCCCCCCCGCCCCCCAGGGCCAGGAAGGAGGATTTGGGATAGGGGCCAGCAGGCCGTCCCTGAAGGGCAGCATGAACGGGCAGTTGGAAAAGGTGTGAGCTCTGTCAAGCATAGCTGGGTTTGAACCCTAGTGCCTTGGTCATGTCACTTAACCTTCATCAGCTTCGTCTTCTCCTCTATGAAGGGGAGACAGTAACAGCATTCACTTCACAGGGACTGTGGAAAGGACTTCACGAGGTCATGGATATAGAATGCCGAGCCAATCCATCTTGGAAGATGGGTCACTGTGTTTCGGGGGAGGGAAGACGTAATTAATTGGCAGGTTTAAGTTTTGAGAGAAAATGAAGCCATGTCAGGAAGAAGCTTACTTGGGCAGAGTCTCCCTAGTCTTGGTGCGGCCCCTGTTAAGGAGGGGAGCTAGGGCAGTGCGGGAAAGATGTCAGCTCCCCGTGTGTGATGGGGGGACCTTGGTCTATCTCTGCTTACTCATTGGCTCTGCAGTTACCTAGTTGGGTCACATGTCCTCTCTTAGCATCCAAAGACATTTCAGTTTTATGTAAATAAATATAGGACCCCGTTCTTTTCTACCAGGGAGGCACCCCTCCCTCTTCACTGCTGTGCATTTCCGCTCCCATGTGTAAGTTTACTTTGTTTATGGACATATATGTAATTTTTTACATAATTTATGGAAGTGTGTGTGTGTGTTTCCCAGCATTCTGAGATCTTTGGGTGAAAGGGGATGTAGAACGCCAGGCATTGAGCAGGCATGCAGCCTTCTGGAGAGTGTATATATTTGAAGAGATGAGCAGATGTGAGCAGCTGCATGTCTACGAGTGCTAGTGAACAGGGAGAACTCAAGCCAGGCCTGAGTGTGTTAGAGCCCATGGTCTTGAGGCACAGGGCCCCGTAGACATTACCCTGCATCTGTTGGCAAATGGATGGGCTGTACTGAACCCGCCTCCAGGGGTGGCCTGGGACTCAAGGCAAGGGAGACAGGCTGGGAGCCCTTATGCCCTCGGGCTATATGGGAGTTGTCACTCAGCACCCTCATACCCTTTGAAGAAGAGCCTGGTCTCCCAATCTCAGGGTCTTGCCCCCCTCTTCTACCTGCCTGTCTTTCGGGATCTCTCAGTGTCTGTCTGTCTCTCATTTGCTCTAGTCGAGGTATACACTGATCCTGCCCACATTAGAGGAGGTGGAGGTTTGCATCTGGTCTGGACTTTAAGAGGTATGGGGGCCAGAGGGAACCTGGTGTGGGGGTCAGGGGAAATAGCTGGGGGTGGCGGTTAGAGACCAATAAGAGAGTGGGTTCCTAAGGGCCAGTGAGCAGAAAAGGAGGAGGTGGCTCAAGCGTCCGCTGGGAAACCAAGAGGCTAAGAGAATCTCAGGGCCTGGATCACTTTTTCCACGGGCCACTGCTGGGTGTGGGGGCTGAGACCCCAGTGGCCTGGAGGATCAGGCAGTCAGTGGATGGGGGGCACTTTTTCCAGCCCTTGGAAAAACAAAGAGCAGATCGGGTAGTAAAACAAAAGCAAAGGAGACCTGGAAGCACCTGACAGCCCTAATTCATCACGGCCCAAGTTTTTTCCTGTGTTCCCATTATATTTGTTTGTAAAAGTGGAAATCAATTTTGAAGGTAATTTTCTGGAAAGAATGGAAGGGAGGTGGGAGGGCCGGATAAGGCAGAGATGGTAAAAGGAAAAATTTAGGCCAGGCACAGCCCAGGGGCAGCTCTTGGCAAGGTGAAAGAAAATTGCATATTCAATCTCCATCCATGAATCTCCCTCACTGCTGCCCGCCTCCTGCTTGAAAACAATGAAGGCTTTTTTCCCAACGCTGGGCAGGGCCTCGGTATCAGCCTCACTTTAACTTCAGGGTCATTAATTCCCTGATTATTGAAGGAGAAGAGAGGGTTGTAGCATCGTCAATTCCAAAGGCACCCCCCATGTGATCAGGCCCTGGCTGGGGTGCGGTGGGGGACAGCCAGGGTGGGGTGAGGTGTTGTTTCAGAAGAGCAAAAGGAGGGAGGAAGTGGGGAGCCAACTGGACTGGGGGGAAGGAAGCCAGGAGGAGGGTAAAGAAGGCAGTCATTACTGCATACCTCTGTTGTGTTGTTATTGCAAATTAAAAGTAGCATGTTCCACTCCACAGCTATCTTTGGGGAGGGAGGGGCACCAAGGGAGGTGGGGGATCTTATCATTGCTTCTTCAGCAGACCAGCCGTGGTGTCACCGTGTGAGGTGACATTTGAATTTACAATTCCGCTGAGAAAAGCCATTAATTCACAAATTAACATTTCTCCCTCTCCCTCTCTCTTTAACACTCTCTCCCTCTCTCACATGGATGTGCAAGCAATTGAAAAGACAAAGGAAATAGCCTTAAGGAAGAGACTTTACTGCTAGTCTGTCTGTGCTGAGATTGCTCCCCCTGCTTCCAGATAGATAAACCAATTACCTGAGCAGCTCTGCTCCTGGCCGCCCGCGATCGCGATCGCCTCCTTTTGTAGGCTGCCTCCCCGGCTGGATTACACTCGGTGTATCTCATTAATGTAAACCAGGCGTGCCCTGGTCACCAGTCTCTCTTCCCCGCTCTCCTTCTGGAGGGGCAGTGGGAAGAGTGCTGGTGTCAGAAAAGGCAGGCAAGGAGGACCCCCTGGAAGAGGAGAGGCTGCCCCTGCCCGCTGGCCCGCCCTGGGACTTTGGGTGCAGCCTTCAGTCCTGGAGGAGGCCGATGGGGGAAGTCTGCAGGTCGGCACACCCTGGTCGGCTGGCATGGGCAGACATTTAGAGGCAGAAGCAGGAGCCAGAGCTGACTCTCTCAGGCCCACAGTGTCTGTCCTCTGTGGCCTTTCGGTCCAGCTGCAGGGGGCTGGTGGAAACAGAGAAGGATCTAAGCGTTCCTGCAAGGGAAGAGCTTTGGGAAGTTTCACTGAGCACATACCATTTTCGTGGGCCAGGGTTCAGCCTGAAGGAGCTGGGAGGGGTGCCGAGGAGGGCCCAGAAGACACAGTGAAGTTGCACTATGTTGAGTAAACAAAATGAAGAACGAGGTCTCACTGATTCCTTAACCTAAACCCAGCACTTGGGCACAGTTACCTGTGTTCACCACCTAATCCACACACACACACACACACACATCTGATTGGTTTTAAAGAATCCCCACCCAGGAGTGTAAACCTGGGGTGGCGTGCCCTCAGAGCTCTGAAGTGAGCTCACATGGTGGGCAAAGAACCACGGAGCCTCGTTTTGCTTCCACTGTCCTCTGGGCCCTGGCCAGGCCCTGTAAGAAAGCATTATACTGGCAGGGGGAAGCCAAGCAGAGTTTGAGTTTCTCTAAGGACAGGTGCTCTGTGGGTTATTGCCAGACTGATATGATTTCACATGCGCTATACTACCGAGCACGGGTCACAGGCTGCCCCTCGTGAGGCAAGTCCTAGGAAAGCCCAGAAACCAAGTCCCCAGGAAGGTAACCATCCATCTAGACAAGTGCCTGAGTTTAACTGCGTTAACAAAGCTCACCCTGTATTCATTTCCCAACAAATATCCAAACCCTGGCTAATGTCCACTCTAGGCTAAGAAGGAGCTAAGGTTCAAAGGTCTGCATTCACTAAGACACCAAAAAAGTCCACTTATGAGAACATATTTGTTGTTATGATTATATCTTCCCAGTAAACTGGGAAATCAGGCCGTTCATGCTGAGGGGGGAATTTTTCTATCTTAGTTGGATCGAAATTTTTAGCCAAACCCTGGACAATGTTGGCCGTGAGCCCGTTGAACACTGACCATGTCATTATACAGAGGTGGGTGCAGGGCATGCCGATGTGTTATTAAGGCCTGCACCTTGGGGCCTGTGCACACATGGGCTGGCTTTCCTCTGTGGGGAAGGACTGGGGCTAGCCAGGGTGGTGTGGAGCTGACATGGGTGCATGAATTTGTACATAAATCCCTGAGTTTAAACCAGAGACTTCAGTCAAATCATTAACCACCTCAGGCTCCTAACCAGTTCCTGCTGTTGTAGATAAAGAATTATATTTCCTTGTTTGAGGAAGTATGTTGCGATTTCGCACAAAAGAGCTTTTTTTTTCTTTCATAAAATGCCAAAACGTTAAAATAGGTGGACCCCAGCCCTCAGGAGAGAATGTACAGATTAGCAGTAGAGGGGCCTGCGTGCACCCCTCCACCACTGAAAGTTGGGGGGAGGGGGAGGGGTGTAGCACAGTATTACAATTTTCTCAGCAAAGGCATCTGTGTGTTTCTGGGCACGTGTTTGCACACCCACCTTGTCAGACTGTCTTCAAACCCTAGTCTTCCACTTGGCAACTACCTTCCGCCCTGCAGGTAGCCTCGTTCTCCTTCCCCCACCCGGCAAGGGCACCAAGCGAGAAATGAGAAATCCGCTGCCTCAGCGCTGCCCTTCTCCCCCAGGCACGGGCTGTGGGCAGGAGGGAGGGGCCCGGCCCTGAGCCTGTCCCCCAGGCCCTGCTGCTAGTGGGCTGGCCTCCCTGAACACCTCCTCCTTTGCAGGCCAGTGGGCAGCTGAGAAGGGCAGGGGCATGGGGGACCCCTTGGAAAAAGGATTTGGAGAGAAGGTAGGCTGGATTTGGAGACCCAGGATTGCTGCCCAACAGAGGAATGGGTCCTAGCCACCTTCCCGACGCTGTGGGCTGCACAAGGAGCCCGGGAGCCCAGGGAAGGACTCCCTCCTGCCTGCCTTCCCCAGGGCCGTGGTGGCTGGAAGGCTCTCCAGGACCTTCCCCACCCTGCCCTGTGGGGGTGGAGAAGCCAGGAGGGTGGGGGGAGGGCTGGGAGATGATCACGAGCCTCAGAGCCGAGTTGCAGTGGAGCCAGTAATTCAAACCATCCTGACCCTTCGGTGAACCCGAACCTGCTGACCTTGACAGCACCAGACAAGGGAGGCCTCACAAACCTCAACCTGCGTGGAGGCCTCGCTTTCTCTTTCTCCCTCCTTGGAGCCCCGGGGCCCAGCCTCCAGGTGGCTCCTAATTTGGTCATCCCCTCAAAATGACAGCATACCTCCCTCCCCAAGGCGCGGCGCCTGCCCGCCTGCCTCAAAGTACCCTTTGTGCTCATCTCCACCGGACAAGTGTGTGGGCATCTCACAAGGGCCTCTCCAGGGCCAGGCCGAGGCTTTCTCCTGTAAACACAGCCTGTACACCTTGCCCATGCTCCCGCCCAGGCTTCAGCTCTTTCAGGAGCACTAGCTATAAAGTGTGTGCGCGTGAGTGTGTGCATGTGTGTGTGCGAGCGTGTGTGTATGTGTGTGCGTGTGCACGTGCGTGCGTGTGGTCTGGGTGCACACAGGGGCTGGGATAAAATGTGATCAAGACAGAGGAGGGAAGAAAAGCCGGAGGAAAGCTGCCCCCAGGAACCTGCATTAAAGCAAATGTAGTTTATGAAGTTTATGCTTTCCTCCCAGGGAGAGCTGGATTCCGTCCAACAGCCTCCCAGAGCCTGGCAAGCAGCTCCTGAAGCAGAAAGTGCAGGCAGGAGCACGGGCAAGCCAGCAAGAGAGGGAGAGATGCACGGACACACGTGCACACACGCGCAGACACATTCTCCCCCCCCCCCCTCGCTCCCTTCCTTCCCCCCTCCCTCTCTCTCTCACACTGGCTCATACAGATCTCCCTAGACCCCAGCAGACTTCAAAGAATGGATGGAAAGATGCAGACAGTGTGTCTGGTAGAAGGGACTTCAGGAGCTTCCCTTTCCTTCCCTCTTCCCTCCCCACCCCCAGCCCACCTCCACCTCCTTTGGCAGTGTAGCCAACCCAGACACGTGGGCAGAGTGGATACTTGGGTGGACCACTGGGGCAGCCGGCTGGTGGAAGCTGCTCTGGGTGAGGGGCAGTGTGGGTGGCCTTTGGGTGGTGAGTATGAGGTCGATGTAGTCAGAGAGATCAGAATGTGGTCTGCCAGGAATCCGCCCCTTTTCCGATGCTGGGAGCCGTGTTCCTCTGGCAGTTTGGTTTAGACCAAGTAGGTACCTTACAGCTACTGAAGACAGCTACTGGAGTCTCCTAAGGAGAAACAATGAGGGACAGTATTTTGTTCCGGAAATTCAAAGGAAATAAATGGTTGGGGTATGGGAGCTCTGAGAGGAACCTGCAATATCTGCTTTCTAGACCAGCCGTGGGCAAACTACGGCCCGCGGGCCAGATCCTCCCGTTTGAAATGAATAAAACTAAAAAAAAAAAAAAAAGACTGTACCCT